ACAATGCACTGATGGCAAGTCTTTCTGCAAATATTTCATCTATTTATGGGCCAATATTTTTCTCTCACATAGTATAATTTTGTGGTCCCTCGTGAAAGCATTTTTTGTGAAAATACATAACAATTAATTCTGTTAAATGGTTTTTTGGTGGAAGCACCACAGGATTTTTTTTATAAAACTCAAGATTAGAATTTTGGAGGCGAACACTAACTCTAATGATAGAATTTTGATCAATAAAAGGGGCTAAACCTTTTAGCTTACTATTGGGGGCTACTGTTTCACACTTAGAAAAACATTTCAGCTCTGCCGAAAAAATTTTTGAGATTGTACTTCTCTGATTAAGAAAATCTTTGATTGCTCTAGTTCAGCAGCGGTTACGTATCCTGACCTTTTGATACTCGGGTTTCTTGCATTATAGATGAACTTGAAAAGAAAACTTAAAACACGTAAAATATGCATAAAATCATTACTTCAGTCATAAATACGATTTAAAAAGCTAAAAGTCCTTTGTTATATTAAAAAGTTTCAAAGCGTCAATATTATTACAGTCTTTTTTCACTAAATTAAAATACTCATCCTCTGTGATACTAAGTTCTGGAGGCTCAGGAATAATTTCCTTTAGGAAGGCAGGTCCAGTCCACCAAGTTGAATTATTTAGAAGAGAATCTTTACTTGCATCACGGTTAAGTAAATCAGCTGGATTAGTCTTGCCTGGACAATGATGCCAAATAGCCTCAATTGACAAGCTTTGTATCTCTTTCACACGGTTTGATACAAATTGTTTCCACTTTTTGCTTGGATTTTAAATCCAGTATAAGGTGACTTTCGAATCACTCAAAAAAAAAAAAAAAAAAAAAAAAAAAAAACACTTTTCAATATTTGTTTTTTTGTCAATAATTGCTTTCAGTTCACTAGCTAATCTTGCCTCAAGTAAAAGCATCCATAAACTAAAGTCTTGACGATGATAGCTTTTTTAACGGAGCCACTCTGGATTTTGAAGCTACAAGATTGATTAAGATTTTGTTCTCAATCTTTAACTTAACGTAAACAACTGCTCTATAAGCCTTAGTACTAGCATCTGAAAATGTATGAATTTCAAAAGAACCAAGTATATATCTCGGAATCTTTAAATTTTTAAGTTGTGGAGCTTTTTTACACCACTTCTCGATTATATCAGGAGGTAAAACTGCATCCCAAGAAAATTTTCTTTGCCAGATCTCCTTTAACAGGCACTTGAAACGGATAGTAAAAGGAGTCACCAGACCCAGCGGGTTGAAGATTCTTCCAGCAGCCATTATTAGAAACCGTTTGGTGTTCCTTTCCTGTTGGAGAAATTCTAGCAAACTATTAATTTCTAAGGACAGGTAATCACTACATGGATCCCATAAGAGACCAAGAACTCTGTTTAATTTATCTTTTAAATTTTCTGGACATAATTGCTTAAATCCCACAGTTTTCTACTTCTTTATTAATCTCTCATAATTTGAAATGCACTTCCTTAAGGACATCTCAGCGTCTCTCATTATTTTTTCGGCACATTTAGAAATTTCATACATAAAAACAGGTATCAAGAATTTGTACTGTAGCAGGAACGTCCTTTCTGTACTTGTCTATATGGTTTTTAATAGTTACTGCCGATAAAAGGGGACTTGCGTTTACTCCAAAAACTATCCTTTTGAATTTATATACACATACATTATTCATATTGTCAATGAAAAGAAATCTCACTGCGTCTCTGTCTCTTTCATATAAAGAAATTTGCGAGAAAGCCTTCTCTATATCTGCCAAGAAGGTGATCTTGTTCAAGCGAAAGAATGCCAATAAATGAAATATATTTGGCTTTAAATTAATTCCTTGATATAAACAATCATTTAGAGATAATTGTCCTGGTTCATGCGAACTTCCATAAAAAACAATTCTTACCTTAGTAGTTAAGCTCTCTTGTCTTACAACTGCATGGTGGGGTAAGTAATACAGAAGTTTATTCACTTCCTTAACTGGGCTCATCACTTTCTCAACAATTCCCTCGCTCAGATAATTATTCAAGATAATACAGTACTCTAAATGCAGGGAATTCTTGCATTTCATTCTCTTAACAAGGTTTGCAAGTCGATTTTTTGCAACATCATAATTGACTTTAAGTTCCTCCCAATTTCTCTTCTAAGGTAACCCAACCTCATATCGTCCATCCTTAAAACATACTGTTTCAATGAACATCTCTAGTGCCTTATCTTTCTCATTTCTCAATTTGATATCTTTAATACCAAGGGATTCTAACTCCCAGAAGTTCGCTAACTGATACCTAAATCTTCAAAATTGTTTACTAATCCACAATGATAACTCTTTTGTTTACTTAAATTCATAGACCCACTTACTACCCAACCAAACACTGTCTCTTGCAACACGATAGCTTCCTCTTGTAATTTTATTTGATTTGGTTTGATTAGCAGGTAAAATATATCAGCTCCCCGAAGAGCATCAATCTTCATTGGTCTATAAAAATATGGGTCAGTATAACAAATATTTGTTAGAAAGCAAATTTTTTTAACGTCCAATCGAAAGAGTAAGATCAGTAATATTATCTACAATTAAAAATTCAACATTTCTTTTAAAGTCTCCATTCAAATTTTCTACTGATGTTACTACCTTACTTTTAACAGTTAGAATCGAATTATTCAGGCCAGATATAGGAGCATTTATTGCAGGTTTTTTTATTTGTAACACATCCGCGATTTCTTTCGAATTAGGCTGACTTGACTGCCTACATCAAGAATTGCTAAAATGTTTATTATTTCTTCATTTCCATTATCACAGCAGTAGGCAAAAATGTGTAAGTTTTTGGACCTTGGAAAAGAAACCTTTGCTCTGGCGGCGAGAAAGATTTATATACACATTCATAACTCGTTCCGACAAATGACTGATTTATGGAAGGAGTCACATTTTTAGTTTCGAAACTGATTGTGTTTGGATTTAGTTCGCTTGAAATGTTTATTTCGCTAGCATTATTCGGTGAGAAAGATGCTTTTTGAGAATGTACACCATGGGATGAATTAGTATTTCTTTTCTCAAAGTGAATCAGGGTGTTATGTTTTTTACTGCACTTAGTGCATGAAAATTTTGAAGACCACTGTTTTTTACACTGTGGTTTTAGCAGTTAAAACACAATCTTTGCTTTTTTAGAAATTCAACCCTATCATTCACTGATATATCTTGAAATTTAGGACGTTTATGTAACATGATTATCCAAACAGAAAGTACACTTAGATGACTTGACACTACTCAACAATACAGTACCTTTAGAACAATGCCTTTGGTTCATGTTCTTAGAAACTCTAGATACTTCTAAGGTTCTTGCATGATTTTTTAGAAATTAAATTCATTCAATTTGGGAATATTTTTTTTCTTACCAAATTCGCGTTCGAACCTAAATTAAGTCATTCAATTTGGGAACACTATTTTTCTTACCAAATTCGCGTTCGAACCATAGTTTTATTGAAGCATCTATTTTTGTAACAAAACATATGCAAACATTGTCAGCAAACCCATCAATTTTGTGTTCTAAAATTTTTAACTCTCTTGTACATTCAAAGGTAATATCAACTAAATTTAGTAAAGCATTAGCAGATTCACTGTGAATAGATGGAATTGACATAAATCGCTTAACGTGGGCAAAAACCGTTTCTCGATCATTTGAAAATCTTCTATCAGTGACCAAGCAACTTCATAATTTTGATCCGAAACTGGGATTGACTTTGCGACTCTGAGTGTATCACCTTTAAGGGCTGATAATAAATATTGAAGCTTTTGTCCTTTTGGCAAATTATCGCTGTTATGCACAGCAGCCTTAAATAAATCATTAAAAGTTATCCATTCATAAACATTACCAGTAAATGTAGTTAAACTCAATTTTGGAAGCTTTACATCTGGGGCTCTTTTAGAACTATTATCAACATTTATTTTACCTTGTTCATTCTCAGTACTTTTCACAGAAAGTTTAACATTTAATTTATGTAAGAATGTTTTTAATCTTACTTTATTTTTTCCAGAGATATCTCTATCTCTTCTAAATCCGATTCTGCTTCAGTAATATCCACTTTTACATGCAATTTGAAGTAATCCTCTTTTAATTCAGCTATACATCCTTTCACGGTGCATACAGTTTCTAATTTTACTTCTAATTCAGTTATAATATCTTCACTTATTGATTCAATCACCGATTCTACAAACGTTTCTAAATGGGTGATTTTACCCTTTAGGGTAGCTTTTTCACACTTTAATAAATTAATTTTTTTCTTCCATATTATGAGCACAGGTTACACAACACAATCGCTTCGGAAGAAGAGCACACTTTTCTTTTCACGAATTCACTATGTTGCTGATTCATTTCTAATTCGGGCTTGACGGCCCATGAAAGTTCATGTTATAAGTCACCGTCTCTCTGATAACTTGAAAACACTTCATAAAGTTAGGATGATAGCTTTTATTTCACATCTCTGTAACTACTTTAACACTTTCGCCACAAAAGGCGAGAACACTCACTCCACGAAGGTGAGAACACACTCTCAGTTTTTTCCCTTTTTGCACAGCACTGCCCTCTGGAAGCATTTTCTATATTTTGCAGTTCATATATCAGGGAGGTAAGACTGAACAGTGTGTTTCCAATGAATGTATGCTAACTTCCTACCAACTGTAACATAAAGTGTCTATAAAGTACATTAAGATTAATAAAAGCCAAATTTTTGATGCCATTGAAGTTTATTATACAAGTTTTTTACAATGTCTGAAGATTCTGCCATGCTTAAAAAGGTGTCTAGAAGCATACAGTATTTTTGCATTTTAGTAATTAATTGTGTATTGCCATTGAATATTAGTGTTTTATTAAATTTTGCTGTTAAGCTTTACAAACTTATGTATTATGGTTTGATATAAAGTTTAAATGTTTAGTCTTTTATACCTAATCATAAAATGTAAATGTTGTAATGATTTTATTTGCCTCTTAGGTTATTCTTACATCCGATGCTACAAATAAGTTGACTAATTGTAGCATTTATGATGCAAAAACTGGAACACTTATGTCTACTTATAAAGGGGATAACAGTGCTCCTAAAACTCTTTCTCTCATTTCCAGTCATTATTTGATAAGTGCCTCAGTTGAAAAGCCTTTACTGAATGTATGGACCGTTTCAAAAAAGGTAAATAAATTTCTTTATTATTTTATAGTTGAAATTATTGTAGTAAAGCTGTAGTAGAGCATCTTAAATAATTCTCTTGTGCCATTGCTGCAGCAATAATTAATAATTTATTTGTAATTTAATTAACTTTAAATTTGCTTTTTATGAATAGAGAATTTTTGTTAAATTCAGTTTATTATGTATATGTAATGGAACAAACTTAGCAATATTAATGGCGATGTAGGAATGTTGGGAAGCTGATTGCATAGATGTTGTTCCATAATTAACAGCAAATTGGGCAGCCAAGGCTGTTTAAATATTCACCTTTATTTCAATTGACATTTCCGGTCACAATTCACTATCTTTATTTCATTTGACATTTGCAGCCACACTCTAATCATGCCCATTCAAGAACATTTACATTTTTTATCCTGTTGCGATAGGAAGAAAGCAGCGAGGCAATATCTCGGTCAGAACAGGAGTAAGAAGCAAAGTATGCATTTATCCAATATGGCAGCATAATAAGAGGCAGTTTTGATTTAAGTTCTGATTTAGCTATGTCATTAGCATTATGGAAGTGATATGATATGGATTGTTCTAGAAATGAAACTTGTAAATTTAGCAAATTGGTATACAGTCAGAAGTCCCTAATCCGGACGTCCATAATCCTTAAAGCTACAAACTATTTGTGCATGTGTAAACGTTAATGCATTTATGCATGCGCATATGCATTTACGCATGCACGTTTAATGTATAACGGACGGTATAAGCTAAGCTAGAATTATCTAATTATCTATTGCAATTAATGTTGCAGATTGTGTTTTTCCTTAATCTTCTAATTGGATCCGGCTTATTATTTTTTGCAGACTGTTAGAGCAATTTTATAAAAAGTAAGCTTAAACTTTCGATTATGTCAAAAAGAGTTTCCGATTCTGGAGCTGCCAAAGCATCTACAAAGCAAAAGTATGTTTCGATCTACCACTTCCGATAGTGAAGAAAGTGACAGAGAGGTTATTGAAAACGAAAAAATTTCGATCGACAAATTAGTCGGTATTCTCGACACAGCAATTATAGGACTTGAACAGCGGAACTTTGTAACTAAACAAGAAATTATGTCTGTTTATAGAATTAAAGAGAAAGTATTAGCACATAAAACGAAGCAACTTAAACAGCTTACATTGAAAGAAATGTTTAATAAAGTAAACAAATAAATATTAAGGGTTTTTTTTTTTTTTTTTTTAATTTTGATACCCTTTAGATCATAATTGTTCTTTATTTCATAAATTACGGTTTCATATTTTTAATTTTATAATTTCTGCATGTCATCTTACCAGATTTAAACTGATGATCTATAATCTGGAAAAACCGATAATCCGGAATTGCCGAAGTCCCGACGAGTCCGGATTAAAGACTTTTGACTGTATATTCTCTTATAATGTTTATAGCTCTTTTATGTTATTGTATACTGTATTTTATATGATAGTATGCTTTGCCGATTAGCTTTTTAAGTTTAAACTGCAGAACTATTTCTTAAATTATTGAATTGCATGTATATAGATGTATGAAATGAAATTTTAGAATTTCAAGGGGTAGTGTCGTATCAAGGTAGAATATTATCACATGTAGCACTACTTAATATTGAAAAGAAATCACTCATTTAGCCATTATATTTGTTTGAACAAGATGTCTGTAAAATGTTTATCGTGTAATTAAGACTAATAAAGTTGTTTTCTTTATTTAGTTCCAGTTTACTTTAAGTTTTAGCTTTGCATGCACTGTAGTTTTTGTCTTAAAAAAAATAAAAAAAAATTTTTTTTTGATGAACTGAGGAGGTAGGTAAATATATTATTCTTCCAATAAATAAAAGAGGTGCTTTATCTAGCATTCGAATATGCAAATTTGGCCACAAAATGAAATTATATAGCAATGAAAGCTGTTTCGAGGTGCAATATAAAAAGTATCAAGCAAAAGAAAATCTATTGCTAGAATTCTATAAGCTGTGACAGCTAGTTCAGTGGTTCCAGAATTCCACTTGTAACACTGTTATAATATATTAACTGTTGGGTAGGGAAACCAGAAGTAAAAAAGTTATTCTTAATACTTTCTTAGCTAAAATTTGACAATAACCTTAGTGCCATTTAAATCATGAGGACAATAATAAGGAAATATCAAATTTTGTTTTCATGCTTTATGTTTGAAAATTGTTTTTCTAATCCATTGTTTGTTCTAATTTTTTATATTATTTCTTAAAGATCCCCAAATCATCTGCTCATTTTATATGTCCTGGATCTGTTACAGCACTTAGTGTCTCCAGATCTGGAAGATATTGCATTGGTGCCATTGAAAATAAGATTTATGTGTGGCAGGTAACCTTTTGTAAACTGTGCTTAACTATGTTTAGTGATATAATGAATAAAATCTGTATGGCCTGTTTCCTTTTCATTTTACAAATAAATACTCATTTCATTTTTAACTGTAAAAATTGTTCTGTATCTGTTGTTTAGGTATTTCTTTCAAGAAGAATTTTACCACAATAATTTAACAAAGTTGTGTATAAAATGTAATTAAATTGATCATTTTGATGCTATTGCTATCACATATAGGTACTTGCTCAATATTACATAAATAGGATTTAAGATATTTAATAAGGTATTGTGATCTGTCACTATGAATGCCTTGGTTCTTTCAACAGGTATTTTTCAAACGAAGCTGTAGTCTCATTTAGGCATTACTATTTTATTGTATAACTTTTCATGTAAAATTTAAAAAAACCTTTATCTTGTACTATCTACGTTGGGTGCAGTCTGTAAAAATCATTATCCATGAGGAGGTTGATCATCACCCCAAAAATGGCGGCTAAGAAACTTCTAAAAGATGCTGTCCTCTGTAAAATCTTAAATGTTTGGCATTTCTGCTGATATTGTTTAACACATTACAATACTTAGTTCTGCTATTGGACATCTTATCGCATACTTTTTCCCAGAACTACAAATTTTTGCTATTGCAGAGCAGCTTTGAATTCTACTTTCTTTTGCAAGGAACCCAGTTTGGTCGTTTTAAGAATTCAGTTAGTTTACATTTAGAAGGTCCTCTTAAGAATTCAGTAAGTTTGCATTTTTTTTTTTCAAATAGGTTTTCAGTTGTTTGCTGTTTAAAGCTCAGATTAGATTTTATTATTTATAGAAATCTATAAAAAGTTTTTCGTTTTCTTAGTATTAAAAGTTTAGTTTAGCATAATTGGAGACCACTCAGTTTTTAAAGTTGTTTATAAGACAGTTTGGTTCAGTGTATGTTTTGCTCTTTATGTATAATTGCTTTTGAATTTTAATTTTGCATATAATGGTTTTAGACCATTTTTTTTAATGACCAATTTGCATAAAGTTAAGATTTATTTTTATTTATTTATTTATTTTTTGAGTAGGCAGTTTGGCACAATGCTATGTTTTATTCTTTTTTCCAAGTGTTTCGAAAGCATGTAGGGAAATTTCTGATATATTTGAGATTCGATTGTACTGTTTGATATGAATTTTAATGTCTTAATGGAATCTTTTTTCAGTTTTTGAACTCAACCAGGAGAACGAAATATGTTTTCGTAACATATTGACTTTTCTGAAGCTTTAATTCATTTTCCCCTGATGAATTCTGCATTGGAGATTTAGTAAAGGCAGATTAATTTTTATAATTTTGTGTATTTCCCTTACGCATTTTTATTTTTCGAATTTGTTCTACCATGAGTTTTTATTTTAATTTTGATTTTAGATATTGTGTTAAACATATCTTATACACGGTTACAATTATTAATATTGTTGATGAATTGCCTTACTTTGATTCCAATTTAATATTAACTTTAGATGCTTTAAGTTTATTATTATTTCTAAATTGTTGAAGATAGATGCTGAGGTATAATTGATGAAGAAACAGTCGTACCAAGTAGATGCTTTGTAGATGCATAATAAAATGCTGAAACTTATAGATATGGAGTTAATATTGCTCTTTATTTCTCACTGACACACATTTTTATAGCAAATACAAAATAAATCGGAAGAAGTAAGTTGAGCTTATTCTAGAACTTTTTATATTTTTGAAGAGAGTATACAGCAGGTGTAGTTAGCAAGAGAAACAGAAAGCAAGTGTGAGAATGAGTCCTTACCTTCTCCAGCAGCAGTTAAGTACCATTCCCATTCACTCATGTGTCCTCTATGTCATCCAGATAAGTTCATTGAAAAATGTGGGGATGGTCATAATGTTTTGGCTCGTCAATGTAGTTGATTAAATTGTACTGAAATTGAAGCTATCTCACTCTCATTTAAACACTTCCGGTTTCACTGGAATGGGTATAGTTAAGGTTTTAACACTTCTAATTAATTTTTCAAAATTAATCCCTGAGTAATAATTTTCTGACATTCTTGAAGTTGACTCTATGCATTGTGCTTTCACAATTTGTATTTGAAGTTCCTTTTATAATTGAGCCTGTTTTGATTTTTCAAGTCTATCTTTCTACAGTTACATTAATTAAGTTGATGATAAAGTCACTGTCCTTTTTTAAACACATCAGAAGTCTCAATTAGATTTCGCACTTCTTTACTTTTGGATTAGTAGCCACTAGATCTTTTTCCTCTCACACTTTTAATAAATCCCCTTTTTGCATTTGAGCAAACATCTTAACAAAACTATTAATCACAAAATAAATTTTCTTATGTGCCTGTTTGTCTTTGGGCACCCTAATCCAGGATGGGCATTCACCTTTTTCTGTTAGTGTCTTCTAAAATTCATAAGAAGATTTCTAGCTATTAGGCAAACATTTATTGATACTATTTTTTTTCCCCGAATGGCGGGCACTATTTTGTCTTTTTTCGACTAAGGCCACTCTAAGGCTGGATATGGTGGCCATTTTATTTTGGGGGCAACAAATAGGCAGCTACCGTTACCTCCTATGAACTAAACTCAGTGGAACAACAGCTATTGGCACAGCCTGGAGTGCATCAGCATATGCCTGGGCAAGTGGTCAGCTTGTTGCAGGATCCCAGGTGTGTAGTCCCCAAGCGAACTTGGTACTCATTTTATCGACTTAATCAAGGGATGAAGTCTGAAAAAGGATGAAAGGCTGAGTCAACCTTGCCCATCCCAGGGATCGAACCCCGAACCTGTGGTGCAACTGTGCAACACGCTAGCCACTTCGCAACTGGTCGGGCACCTCCTATGAAGGGATGGACAATTACAACCATGCTTTCTCCATGATTAGAACATGGGCCCTTCGATATTGTAGTCGGCTCCTCTAACCACTATATCATCTGGGTGCCTTGATGCTAATGTACAATGGGTTGGAAAACTGTTAAGTACATGGAAGAAGTAAGTGCAGTCATAACTGATATATGCATGCACATTTAAAAGTTGTAAATCTAGCACTTCTCATGGCACAAATATTGTCACCGATTAATTGAATTGTAAGCGAGGCTGAATTATTGGAATCTACCCACACATAACCTGCTGTCCGGTTCCTTCTTGATTCTTGAGCTTCCTTTGCTGTGACACTCTCTTTCTATGGAGACTAACTGTGCTCTCAATAGGTGTGGCTTCAGCAAGAAGGTGATGACAACACCATCCTTCGGTGGGGACGGGAGGCATCCCACATATATAAACATTGTGATTTTAAAATATTTGGCAAAAATGTAAATGCAGCTAGAGAAAACAGAAATAAACAGATTTTGTAAGAGAATATGTGTGTGTGAATGGCACATGCCAGTGCTGTTGTGTTGGGAAGGTAAAAATAACAGATAAATGTGATAGGTAAAGGAAAAAAAAAAAAGTTATGCTCAAAATGTTTGGCATTTTGGTTGCTGTCTAACTTGGGAATCATATTTTGTACATCCTTTAAGCAGCTACTCTATTTTTGTCTGCAAACATACTGCCAAGATCAGTTCATGTAGCAGTACATCCCACCTAGTCTTCATTAGAGAATGACGATTTAAGCCAGTAAACTACTTTCACATACTGATGTCAGCAGTGCTTTCTTCCATCTCAATATGCCATTTCCACGCATACATTTTATTACAAAATCTGTGCATTTCAATTCCCTTCACCTTTGTTCATTTTTGCCATATATTTTAGAATCAGCTTGTGTATACATGTACAGGTGGTTATCAAAATAATGGAAACACTCTATATTTATAAGGAATCCTTTGTTAATATGGCATAGGACTGCCTTTGGCATGTAAATACAGCTTGGATTCACCTGGGAATCAAATCATACAAGTGCTGAAGAGTATGTGGAGGAATATTGTATTATTCTTCATGGAGATATTGTGAAAGTTCTGGGAGAGATGCTGGTGGAAGATATCGATTCTGGATTGATTGCTCTAAAACAGACCATAATAGTTCAATTATATTGATATCGGGAGACTGCGTGGGCCAATGTAGATGTTTCACTTCATCCTCATGTTCATCAAACTATGAATGGACAAGTCTCGGTGCATGAATATATACATTATCATCCTGGGAGATTCCATCTCTTGCAGGAAACAAAATTTGTGTCATCGGATGAACCTGGTCAGCTAAAACTTCTCTATACTTCACCTTAGTGATCCTTCCTTGCAGGGTTAAAAGAAAGCAGAAAAACACGAAACGGTTGTCCATACCATTACAGATCCACCTCCATGTTTCACAGCTGGAAGCAGACAATTACGATCATACGCTTGTGAAGGTGTTGTCCTGTTGTAGGGGAAAAAAGTGTGAAAAGAGATGATTCATCTGACCATATAACTGTCTTCCACTTATCAGTCAACCAGGTTTCGTGGTTGTGTCACCACTGTAGACTACGTTTGACATTAATGTGACAAGTGGCTTGGGAATTGCTGCTGTAAATATTCTGTTTATGAAAGTGCCTCCTAACTGTAATTATTGACACTAGAGAATTCAGATGCTGATTCAGCTCTGCAGTCATTTTGGCTGCAGTTTTCTTTTTAGACATTAGAATCCGCTTCAATACTGGTCAGTCACTTTCACTCAGCGTCTCCTTATTTTGTTTTGTCGAGCTTGTTTTGCCTTGCTGTGTGTACACTGTCACGACTTTAGACTCTATTTCTGGAAGTGCCTAACATAGCTCAGTCACAGTTGCTCCAGCTAGTCGGGCTCCTACAATTTGGTGTCTTTAAAACTCTGTGAGGTCTGACAGTTTATGCTTCTGACAAAAATCTAAGGCATATACAACTTCACTAAACTTGCATCATACTACTATGATATATACTTCTTATATTAAAAAAAAAAGTAGGTAGGATATTTTATTGCTTATGAAACACATTCTTAAATGTCACTTTTATTCATAGGTGTTTCCATTGTTTTGATAACCACCTGTATATGGTGTGGCTTGTGTGTGTTTTACATTTGATAACATTTTTGACTTTTCTTAAATTTTAATGCTATTCATCTACTTTACTTCATTTACTTTTTATATCATATAGGTTGAGACAGGTGATCTTTTGGCCATACTTTCTCGTCATTATCAAAACATTACTTGTTTTGGATTTACTACTGATGAAGCTTTTTTTCTTTCTGGTGGAGAAGATGGAATGGTGTTGGTGTGGTATTTATCTGAGTAAGTAGCAATTAGATGGACTAATTTATTTTTTTTTATGGTTGAATTTATGCTTAAAATATGTTTATTTTTCACTACCTGTTTTAAGAATAAATTAGTTTTTTTCTGTTAAATAAATCGGTTTGAATCCAGTCGGTTTTTTTGTTTATATTGCATTACTGACAGCTTGTTTGGTTACCTGTTTTTATTATGCTTACATGTCTCAAATTTTTTCTTACCTATAATTTCTTTATACATTTATTTATAAAAGATAACAAGCTATGCGAGTGTTAACATTCACTTTCCATGGCCCAAAGTTATATATTCATTTTCAAGTGTCAAAGTCATGCATATTTGCTAAAATAATTAGATAAAGCATATTATGTATGTAAATAGCTATTGAATACTGAATTGGGGGAGATGGATACTGTATAGTAGCCTGCTAAGCCAACCAGTGCTCATAAATTTAAAAGAATTGAATTACTTGAATTTGTCATCAAAGAGCTCTGTTATGATGATGCAGAGTATTTCATTCTCATGAAAAGGATTCAATTTCTGTTCCAAGGCCAAGCGACCTTTCTCATTGTACTTCTGATTTAACCCATAAATGTTGCCACGAACAAATCCCTCCACTTAACAACGGAAGCACTAAACAGCTACGAGAATAAATTCCTGCAGTTGTCACAGTGGTGCCCTTTTGGATGTGACAAGAACACACACTTCCTCCACCTGCAAAACTGGGGAAAAACCGATGAACTCTTTCTTTAACTCATACCACCCACATCGCCTAGCTCCGCAAGTCTTCACTAGGCCCAGCTAGCCATGCCCACTGAACAGAGCTGAACACAGCCCATCAGCGCAATGATCAAGCACATCAGTGAATTGGGCTCAAAACTCAGCAACAAGTTATACCTCCTCATTAACATACATATGCTGGGGAAGGATGTAAGCTGGCCCACTGAGTCAGCAGTATTCGTAAATTCGAAAGAGTTGAATTGTTTGAATTCATCACTTAAAAGCTCTTGTGTGATAAGGTAGAATATTTCACTCCCATGGGGAGAATCAGAAATGCGATTTCGTGCATTGTGTTTCTGATTTGACTTATAAATGTCGCCATAAGCAAAAGCCTCTGCTAAAACACCAAAGCACTGAGGAACTACATGCAGTAAATCACCAACCACTGCTGTATTTTTGTAGTGTTTTCTCCATTTTTTTTTCTTTTACAAACTGAAAATCAGGTTTTGAAACACATGCAAATATTCTCAAATTTAAGACTATACTGGTATTATTCTTACTGGGTACCTTGATTAACAGAAGAATTCATAGTTTTGTAAGGCAGATTTAATATTTTAAAATTTAATGTGCATGTTTAATAATTTGAAATGTTTTCCAAATGATATGTAATTAGTCAATATTTTTTAGGTTTAAGTACCATAAAAATAGAATTAAATTAACAGTTAACTGTAGGCACTAAAAATTATAAACAGAAAAACCATTAAACTAGATATTTAAGCTATTATAATTGAAATGCTAAATTTCATGTTTTATAAATTTTTGTTTTCTTAGGCTAATTATTTGCTGTTGATGAAAAATGTTGCAGATTCATAGTTGTCATTATATCCAACATCATGTCAGATCAAATCAGAATCAAAATTATATACGTGCCATCAAAAATAATTTTTTACTTCCTTGTACAAAGTACAGGAAGTCTTGTAATCACAAAAAATTTTGTGTATCACATTTCAACAGAACTATCCATTTTGACCGTTCCCCTATAGCAGTTGCTACATCATAAACATTATTGGTACTTTTCCATTTTGCCGGCGCAAGCCATAAAGTCGTCAGAAATGGTACAACCGATGCCAAACGGAATATCCTCTCTGGTAACATTCTACGCCTCATTTTCAAAACAAGTCGCAGCCATTTCTTATCAGATTGATTATTTCTCTCAATACTGGCATACAATTATATAGAATTTTTATCAGATAGTTAAATTTTATGCCCTAAATCCATTCGCGGTAATTAAGTCAATTAGGATGCAATCACACCGCTCATTCGAAGGCTAAAATATAGGAAAGGCAAAGTCAAAGGTTAAATTCATCAAATATAATGAGAATGCACTAGCGAAGTAAAGCACTGCGGTTTTACATAATTTCTGAGTAAGCTATTGGTACGAATTGAAATAATTCTTGCATTTTAAATTGTGTTCCTAATTAAGATTTAACTTCAAATTATTGTAGATAATTACTGAGGCAATTAGATTTTTTGTAGCGTAGTTTACGTGAGATGAGATCACTTGGGGTCACGTGATTTGTAATGGCGAATCAGTATGTTGTACCATGAAAGCATAGTAAATTCTTAAATTAATGTCTTTTTACAAATTTATTGTCTTTATTTATTGGTCTTTTTTACAAAATTTACAACGATATTAAAATCTTTATGCCTTCAAAATAAAAAATTCTTAGAACTAACATTTGCTAGCATTTTTTTATGTGTATACTGTGTGTTGTCACCAATAAAGTCTGCTTGGCGAGATATGCGCCGGCGAAACGGAAAAGTACCACATTATTTTTCTGGTTTAAGAATAATGTTACATTACTAAATTTAAAAGAAAAAAATTTTCTTTTTTCACTTTTTAAAGACTTTCTTTTCTAAACAACATCATTCTATGACTATTTTCGTTTCTACTGTTGCCACTCACAGTCTGCATAAAGTTATACAAAAGAAATGATTATATATGATTTGTAAAGTTTACACTTCTCCCCTTTCAAGCAATGTAGTTGCGATGCAAGGAAAAAAGTTATTGTTCTCGCATAAATATTTACATTACAATAATCTACATAAGTGCTATTTACAAAATATTAAAAACATTATATGAAAAATTAGTGTACAACATTAAATATTCATGTAATCTTGATAATATGCTGGATTTAAATCATCCATCTTTCTATTTTCATCTCTGTTTAATGTAATACTTGGCTGTTCTTTAGTTGTTAGATTTGGAGAATCATCCTCACCTTAGACTAACAAATAAGCTTGTTTTAATTGATCGGCAGAAACATTGATGTCTTTTCCTTTAATTCTCACTGTATAATATTTGTCATTTCTGGCAATGGCTTTTAACTGGTTTTAATTGTTTCATTCGTTTTTGGAGTTTGCTAATAAAAATAATCTGGTTCTAATTTGGTTTTTGGTTCTTGAAAGAATTCTGGTAGCTTCAGTGATTTACATAGACCATTTCTGCGATGGAGCAGTTGGTATCATTATGTAGAGATGTACGTATATCAAGGCGTGTAGTTGACAAATTTTCACTCCATTTGACTGAATTGTGACCTCTAATGGCAGCGTTTAATGTTCTGTTAAGTCTTACAATTTTTCCGTTACTGTGTGAGTGGTGTGAAGTTGTTGTTTGCATTTTAATTCCACAGATCATACCTAAATTTCTGAAAAGTTCTGATCTGAACTAATTTCCTCTATCTCTGATCACATTGAAAGGAACACCAAAATGACAAATACAATTTGCATAAAATGCTTTTGTGATTGTTTCTGCTGTAATATTTTCTATGGGTGTAACTTTCATTCAGCAAGTAAAACGATTGATGCATATTAAGCAATAGTTATTTCCATATGATGGTGGGTATGGTTCAATTATATCGATATGAATTATGCTAAATCTTTCTTCAAGTTCTTCAAATGAGTTGAATTTGGAAAATGTGTGGTGAAAATAATTTTACTTTTCTGGCAATTAAGACAAGTTTTAGCCTATTCTCTAACATCGTTTTTAATATTCTTCCAAATGAATCTTGATGCTACATCTTTCACTGATGATTTAATGCCAGGATAGTTCAAGTCGTGTATTTTGTGGAAAACATTTGTTCGAAATGGTTGTGGTATGAATGGTCGAATAGTCAAAGTTGAAATATTGAACCAGATTATGTTTCCCGAGGGTAGTGGATATTGTTCAAAATTTAAATTTTTGCTACTATTTAGTAATTCTTTTAGTTCATTGTTGATTTGTTCATCTGCAATTTTGTCATAATTAATGTCCAAAACTGATTCAGTTCTAGACATAGAGTCTATAACAACATTATCGTTCCCAGTTATGTATTTTATATTTGTCAAAAATTGGGAAATATGCTGGAGATGTCTTAATTGTCTAGGTGATACTTTATCATTCTTTTGTTTAAATGCGAATATAATTGGCTTGAGATCTGTGAAAATCGTAAACTCACGTCCTTCTAGCATATGGTTAGATTGTTTGATGGAAAGATAGATACAGTCAAAAGTCGTTAATCCGGACTCGTCGGGACTTCGATTCCAGATTATCGATTTTTCCGGATTATAGATCATCAGTTTAAATCTCGTAAGATGGCATGCAGAAATTCTAAAATTAAAAATATGAAACCGTAATTTATGAAATAAAGAACAATTATGATCTAAAGGGTATCAAAATTTACAAAAAAAAAAAAAAAAAAAAAAAAAAAAAAAAAAAGCTTAATATTTATTTGTTTACTTTATTAAACATTTCTTTTAATGTAAGTTGTTTAAATTGCTTCATTTTATGTGATAATACTTTCTCTTTAATTCTATAAACAGACATAATTTCTTGTTCACTTACATAGTCCCGCTGTTCAAGTTCCGTTAATTGCTGTGCCGAGAATACCGACTAACTTGTCAATCGAAATTTTTTCATTTTCACTAACCTCTCTGTCACATTCTTCGTGTCTTTATCCATTTTTTTCAGCAATTCCACTTTTTGTTTGTTGGACATCGAAACATACTTTCGTTTTGTAGATCCTTTGGAAATTCCAGCATCGGAAATTCTATTTGACATAATCGAAAGTTCAAGTTTACTTTTATAAAATTGCTCTTACAGTCTACAAAAATAAATAAGCGGGATCCAATTCGAAGATTAAGGAACAACGCAATCATTAACATTAACTGAAATAGATAATTAGATAATTTTAGCTTACACCGTCCGTTATACATTAAACGCGCAGGCGAAAATGTATTCTGCACTT